GGAGGAGTCGAGGAGGAGTCGAGGAGGAGTCGAGGAGGAGTCGAGGAGTCCGCGGCCGCCTTCCTGTCTCCCCGCCTCCATGGTGCCAGTTTGCCAGTGCGCAACCCCGCTCAGACCACCCCGCGCCGCGCGGAGTGACCGCTCGCCCCGGACCAAAAAGTTGTCCTTGCCCTCTCCGTGGCGCTGTCTTCGCCGTGACCGGGTGTGCCTTCGAGCCCTAGCCAGGACGCACTGGGGACCGGGTCCGCAGGTGTGACGTGTCTCACGGGCGGATCCCAGACCCGCAGGCGCCGTGAAAGAGCATCGCGATGTACGCTCTCTCTCTCTCTCTCTTTCTGTCGCTCTGTCTCTCTTTCTCTGTCTCTCTATCTCTGTCTCTCACCCGGGGAGGCGCAGACTTGGACAACGCCGCGTGGAGTGGCTCACGCGTGGAGTAGCAGCACGCTCCGTCGCCGCATCAGGCGGCGCTGGCCTCGTGTCTTAGGGGGCACGTTCCCCGATGCCGTGGATCTGCGGCCCACCCGCCAGCTCCACGGATCCGAAGTCCGCGTGCCCGACTCCTGTCCTCGCCGCCGCCAGCAATCGGCATGCGGCGAGGGGCCGGCCACGGGTTCGTGGGGTCGGCGGCTCTGGCGGCGCGGGTCTGTACAGGGCGGCGGTGGTCACAGGTCTGGGGGCGCAAGGGCAGGGTCAGTTTCGATCCGATCGATCCGATTCGATATCGACCTCGGCTGGCGCGATCCGATCCGATTCCGATGCTCTGGTGGTCCGGTGCTGCCCGATGTTTGCACGGTGTTGTTGCGTATCTCGGCGCAGCGGGTCCGATCCGATTTCGACTCCTTGCCGATGCAGCCCGATCCGACGTAGATCCTGACTCGATCTGACTTCCAAAATTCGACGCTGACGGAGCCTGCACTGGAGGGGATGGGGGTCTGGGGGCGGCCAAGAGGGTGGGTGATGAGTAATTAGGGTGGCTTGGATATCTATATCTTGGCTGGGGCCATGGTATTTCTCCGAATTTCATGACCCAGTCTTCTCGTTTCAATACTGCCCCTGGTCCCCGCCCTAGTCCGCGTAAATGCTTCGTGTCATGATTTGCGACCCCGTCTGGACGCCACCCTCTTGGGACGCCTCCGACTGGGGGTTCGGGGGCAAGCGGGGTGGGAGGAGGGGGCTGCTGGGGGAATCAGAGTTGGCGGCGCGCCCGAAGGAGGGTGGCGTGAGAGGGGGCTAGCAAGGCGGGGGTCTTATCAGAAGGCAGGAGCCTTTTACGAGGGCCCTGAGGCTTCTTAGAAGGCTTCTCAGAAAAGAGCCCTTCTAAGAAGGCCCCTGCCTTCGAAAAAGCCCCCCCCCCCCTCTCTTAGAAGGCCGCCCGCCCCTCGCGCGGGGCAGGGGGCGAGGTGGCGGCGGGGAGGACGGTATGGGAGCGGAGTGATGGGGGAGGGGAGGGGAGGGCACAGAGTATGATGCACCCTTGTTCGGAGCATGTCCCCGAGACCCAGCACGCCCACATCGAACGAATGCGGTGACTAATATGACGACTTCGATGCTGGCTGTGAAGACGATGCTCACTGTGACAACGATGTGATGCGACATTGTGACGACGATGCTGATCATGGTTGTGATGCTGCTGATGATGATGATTACACCCGGGCCACAGCTTTATTCGAGGGCAGATGCGCGGTTACCGCTATGCTTAACTGCCACGCTCAGGATGGAAGTCGCGGGTCAAGACATCACTTCCAAGGTACGCCCTCACCTGCAGGGCAAGCAGTGAAGAAGTAGGGGTAGCAGGAAGGTAGGAAGTTTAATGCTTCGCGTATCCACCGGCCAATGCTTGAACGTACGAGGGCTATATGGTTGGAAGTTGAATGCTTCGCGTATCCACTGGCCAATCCCGACATGATCTTCAGGCGAGTTGTCGCCAGGAGGGTAGTGGTAGTGGGGAGCGCAAGTGAATGAACTTTTGCGGCCTTCAACCCATCCGCCACCGTGCCTCCTTCGAGAGATTCTATTGGCTTACGCTACATCCGCCGACCCCTTGCATTTATTCGTGGGGGGGGGGGCAGGGTCTCTTGAAAGCAGTTTTGAAAGCGCCTGCGGCTCGTTTTGGGGGCTGGTCGGCGTGACTTCGGGGCCTCCCGGGTGCATTTTTCCCGGAAAGGGCTTAAGCCCAGTGTTCTCTTTTAGTTTGTTACCCCCCGGGTTTGACTTGAGGTGGGCCGGTGAATTTCTTTCGCAATAAATATAGAGGTCGAGGTGGGCCGGCGAACTAAAATTTGAAGATGTTTGGAGCGAAACGCTTGTTTTTCAGAATTAGTTGAGGATGTCTCGAGCGAAACGCTGCTTTTGCAGAGTTGGCGGATGTCTCGAGCGAAACGCTTGTTTTCAGAATTTGTTGAGGATGTCTCGAGCGAAACGCTGGTTTTGCAGAGTTGGGGTATCTAACATGGCGTCGGGCCCAACGCCGAATTATGAGGAAACGCACGTGGGGCCGAAAAGCTCTACCCGAACACATGTCCCAATACAGAAAAGTGATGTTTTCTTGCTCTGAACAGGGGGTTGCGCTTTGGGGGCCTCTACAGGGAAGACATTGCGAGGATGTCTCGAGCGGTAGCGCGAATTCAGCGTATCCAGGTCACGCAGGGGGTATCTAACATGGCTGTCCCGAGCTGGAACCACGTGTTTTTCCATGCTCAGGCCACCCAGGGAGATCTCTTACATGATTGTCCCGACGCTTGTCCCCAGCACGTTCTGTAGCGCGTCCCCTTGGCACGTCCCGCGGTGCGTCCCCGTGGCACGTCCCCTGGCACGTCGCCTGGCGCGTCCTTTGGGGCTGTTCCGCGGCGCGTCCTCCTGGCATGTTCCCCTGTCAATTAGCTCTGGGGCAGCTACTATGTGGATTATGTGCTCAGGCAGCTCGAGCTTCAGATCCAGATCAGTTCGGTCAGGACTCGAATGCAAAGGAGGACTCGATCCAAAACACAACACAGTACAGCACAATTGCGGCATGGCGCATCGCAGTTCAGTACGGCGCAGCACAGCACAGCCGTCGGCACGGTACATCAAGATCGATAAATTCACTCAGCATTGCAATCTGGCACGTTCTTTGGCACGTTCCGTGGCGCGTCCCGTGGCGAGTCCCCTTGGCACGTCGCGCGGCGCGTCCCCTGGCACGTCCCGTGGCACGTCCATTGGCACGCTCCGTAGCGCGTCCCCTTCGCACGTCCCGCGGTGCGTCCCCATGGCACGCCCCCTGGCACGTCGCCTGGCGCGTCCCTTGGAACGTTCCGCGGTGCGTCTCCTTAGCATGCCCCCCTGTGAATTAGCTCTGGGGCAGCTACAATGTGCTCAGGCAGCTCGAGCTTAAGATCCGGATCAGTTCGGTCAGGACTCGAATGCAAAGGAAGACTCGATCCAAAACGCTATAGAGCACACTCGTGGCATGGCACATCGCAGTTCAGCACGGCGCTGCACAGCATTGCTTTCGGCACGGTACATCAGGATCGATCCACTCAGCATTGCAATCTGGCACGTTCTTTGGCACGTTCCGTGGCGCGTCCCGTGGCGAGGCCCCTTGGCACGTCGCGCGGCGCGTCCCTTGGCACGTCCCGTGGCACGTCCATTGGCACGTTCCGTAGCGCGTCCCCTTCGCACGTCCCGCGGTGCTTCCCCATGGCACGTCCCCTGGCACGTCGCTTGGCGCGTCCCTTGGGACGTTCCGCGGCGCGTCCTCCTGGCATGTTCCCCTGTCAATTAGCTCGGGGGCAGCTACTATGTGCTAGGGCAGCTCGAGCTTCAGATCCAGATCAGTTCGGTCGGTCAGGACTCGGATACAAAGGAGGACTCGATCCACAACGTTATATAGAGCACAATCGCGGCATGGCACATCGCAGTTCAGCACGGCGCTGCACAGCACAGACCTCGGCACGGTACATCAAGATCGATACATTCAGCATTGCAACCTGGCACGTTCTTTGGCACGTTCCGTGGCGCGTCCCGTGGCGAGTCCCCCTGGCACGTCGCGCGGCGCGTCCCTTGGCACGTCCCGTGGCACGTCCATTGGCACGTTCCGTAGCGTGTCCCCTTCCCACGTCCCGCGGTGCGCCCCCATGGCATGTCCCCTGGCATGTCGCCTGGCGCGTCCCTTGGGACGTTCCGCGGCGCGTCCTCCTGGCATGTTCCCCTGTCAATCAGCTCTGGGGCAGCTACTAGTTATGTGCTCAGGCAGCTCGAGCTTAAGATTTAAATCAGTTCGGTCAGGACTCGGATGCAAAGGAAGACTCGATCCACAACGCTATATAGAGCACAATCGCGGCATGGCACATCGCAGTTCAGCACGGCGCTGCACAGTACAGCCCTCGGCACGGTACATCAAGATCGATACACTAAGCATTGCATTTGCCCGTCGCCCAAGCAGGTGTCTTTGAAACGTTGCCATGTCTTACATTTGTGTATTCCTTTCCGGGTTCGTAGGTCGATCATGTTGGGCGTTATGTTGTGCTCCTGGTTTGTGATATGGATGGTTCTTCTCCTGTGGGTCAGGATGCGTAGGATTTCTCACATGACATGTTAGTTTTCACGTGCTCGGGTCTTGAGGATGTCTCGAGCGAGACGCTTGGTTTCACGCGTGCAGATTCCAAGACAGATTTCTAGCATGATTACGTAGGTGCTGAAGATGTTTCGAACGAGACACTTCCTTTCACGCGTCCAGGTTGCACCTTTAACACGAGGATATGTGCAGGCAGGTTTCGAACGAGATGCTTGGTTTCACGTGTCCAGGTCGCCCAGGCGGATGTCTAGCATGACACTATGCGAACGAAGCGCTTGTTTCCAACGTGCGGATGTCAAGACGGGTGTCCAACGTCGCGAACGAAGCGCTTGTTTCCACTCGTCAGATCGCCCAGGCGGATGTCTAATCTGAAAGGGGGTTGAAGACGTTTTGAGCGAGTCGCATCCTGTCATGTGTCCAGGTCGCCCAGGTGGATATGTGCTGTAATCCAGAGACCCCCAGCAAGTTTACTTCAAGAGAGTCTGTACGTTGACGTTCGGGCTCAACTCATCAAGGCAAGCATCCGAAGAAAAGATCTCGCCATGGTAGCGGAGCCGTGGTCCCAGCCCTCCCAGTCTACGGGGTCGGGTTCCGCGGCTCCCGCTCCCGCCGGCGGCGCGGGGAACGCCGGCAGCCTGGGGCGGCCCGCCGGCGCGGGAACTGCAGCAGGGCCGGCAGGGCCCAGCGGAGGCGGCGGCGACGAGTGGGAGCTCCTCGAGGTCCACAGCGGCTGGAGGAAAGTGGCGCGGTCGCTGCGCAAGCTGTTCTGTGTCAGGAGGACCTGTGCGGCGCTGGGCCAGCACCTGAAGGATTTCACGAAGCTGCGAGCGAACCGCCGCTGAGATGGCGGAGGAACGCATGCACGCTTTAGAGCAGCAGATGCTGGCGATGGCTCAGGAGCTGCCGCCAGCAGAGGGAGAATGGTCTCACGGCCGAGGTGCAGCGGCTCGGCCGTGCGGCTGAGGCTCGGCCACGGGTCGAGGGACTTGTGCTGCAGCCTCGAGCTGAGTCGCTCGTGGACACTCGCACGCTGGGTAAGCCAGATTTGTTCACGGGCGAGGAGCGCAAGTGGAACGATTGGAAGGTGATCTTCAAGGCGTACTGTGGAGTTGTGAATGCCGACTTGCTGGCAGGGATGCGGCTGGCAGAGAGCGCTGACGAGGCCTCGGCCCAGGTCGACGACCTCAGGCCTCGCAGCAGCTGCGTTACATCTCACTCCTTCTCTGCCGGCAGCGCCCTCTGACGACGATCGTGAACGCTGGCGAGGACGAGGGCTTCCAGGCGTGGCGCAAGCTAGTCGAGTACTGCGAACCGAATGCGAGGTCCCGCATCGCGGGGCAGCTGCTGAATCTCCTGAACTTCACGTTCACGGGCGATGTCGAGGAAAGGCTGGCGCTTTTCGAGCGAGAGCTCCTCAGGTGCGAGCAGAGGAGCGGCGAGGCCATCTCGGCCTCCATGAGGATCGGCGTCGTCCTTCGGCAGCTCGTGGAAGGCCTTCTACGTCGGCATCTCTTGCTCAAAGCGACCAGGCTGGTGGAGTGGCAGGACTTCCGACGTGAGGTCGACGACGTCCGCTGTGCCCAGAGTGCCATCGCCCTGGTGCCCGTGCCCATGGATCTGAGTGCGTTCACCAACGGTGACGGCGGGGGCAAGTCCGAGGGCGACGGCAAGGACAAGAGCAAGTCCGGTGGCAAGGTCAAGAGCAAAGGCGACAGCAAGGGCAAGTCTAAGTCTGACGGCAAGGGCCTGACCGGCAGCAAGTCCCATGGCCAGCAGCTTGGGCCCCTCAGCTTGGGCTACGGCGGTCGCGACCGCACCCAGCGCGAATGCCCGAGCAAGCGCAGGGGGGCGTTGGCGAGCATGGGGCAGACGCTGGCTGGCATCTACGCCTTTCAGTCGACGAGCACGACTGCGCCGTCGGCGGCCAGCTTTATCTCGACGGCTGCGACTCGAGGCTGAGTCCGGCGACGGCGATGTCCGGCGCGAGCTGTCGGCAGGTCGCAGCGTTCTACCTAAGCGACGCGGACGAGCAGGCCAGCTACCCGCTCGCGAACCTCCACTCCCTCATCATCGACGACCCGGGGCCGGACAAGGCGGACGTGGTCGACTCTGCGATCGGCGCGGCCCTGGACCTGAACGTGATCCACGGCAACTCGGATGCGGAGGAGGTCGAGCGCAACGGCATTTTGCGTGTGGGCATCGACTCGCGTGCGGCGGCCTGGGTGCTGCCGCGTGGCTCGTGTGCGGACTACCGGGTGCACGAGGGTGGCCGGGCGATCTCGTGCAAGACAGCCTCCGGCCACTACGTGAACGACGAGGGCGCGAGGCTCCTCGTGGGGGCTGTGCCTGGGGCATCCCAGGCACGCGCTGCCAAGTTCAGGGTGGCGGACGTCAGCAAGCCGTTGCTGAGCTTCGCGAAGATGGTCGACTCAGGCCATCGGCTCGTCTTTGACTCTGAGGGCGGGCAGGACATTGGCTACGCGTGCCAGGAGACCAGCGGAGACGTTGTCAAGTTCTGCCGCAGGAACAAGGTCTACGATATGGACATGCACGTTGACCCGTACGCGCTGGAGGTCTGCCCGGTCGAGGTGGCAGGCTACGAGCCTCCCGAGGGTGAGGCTGGCCAGCCAGGCCCGGCTCACGAGGAGGTCGCGGAGGGCCCGCCAGCGCGGCCGGCGAGGGGGCCCGCGGCGCCGACGGCGGCCGAGCGAGCCGCGCATGAGGTGCTGCGCGGGCCCTACAGGGCATGGTGCCGGGGGCGTGTCTCCGGCAGGGGCCTGTCGGCAGGCCATCAGACGGACCGCCGGGAGTCGGCGCTCGCGGTGGGTGGCATCGACAACGGCTACCTCGGCGAGCGGGAGGGCGCCGCGCCGCTGCTGACCGGGAAGGGCTCGAAGCAGCGTAGGTTCCACGCGTCGGTGGTTCCGTCCAAGGGGGCGAAGCATCCCTGGCCGGCGAAGTCATGGTCCAGGCAGGGGGCTGGCATCGGCTGGCCACAAGCGCTTCGTCTTCCGCTCGGACGGCGAGGCGCCGCTCGTCGCCCTGAAGACCCGCATCGGGGCCAAGCTCAAGGAGGAGCACGGCGTCGAGACGGTCCCCGAGGAGAGCGCGGTCGGCGACTCCCTGGGCAACGGCCTCGCCGAGCACGCGGTCCGCGAGGTCAAGGCCAAGGTCAGGGCGGCGCGGGCGCAGGTGGGCGACTTCCACGGCGTGAGCATTGGCGTCGAGCATCCGGTGACCCCGTCGATGGTCGAGTTCGCGGCCATGTCCATCGACTTGGGCAGGCGGGACGCGGGCGGCCGCGCGGCTTGGGAGCCTTGGCGCGGCCGCCCCTTCAACAAGGACATGGCCTGCTTCTCGGAGAAGGCCCTGTACCTTTCAGGGGGCGAGCGCAAGGCCGGCGTCGAGGTCAAATTCCTCACTGGGCTCTACCTGGGGCCCAGGTTTCGGACGGACGAGGTCTACATTGGCACGGAGTCGGGCGCGCTGCGGGCCAGGGCCTTCAATCGGTTGACGGTCGAGCAGCGGGCCGACAAGGACCTGCTGAACAGCTTCGTGGGGAAGCCGTGGGCGCCGGTGCCGACGGACACGGCTGTGGACGAAGTACCGGTGGCCATCGAGATCCGAGCGCTGGCGCCGGCGCCGGTCGCGCCTGCGGGTGACCCTTTGGCGCCAATCCCCGAGGCTGAGGGCCTCCCGCCCCGGGCTCCCCGAGTCGGGCGGCCATCGGCAGGGCCGCGGGCCGTCTGCATCAGGAAGGACGTCGAGATCGCGATGTACGGGATCGCCCCGGGCTGCCACGGCTGCGCCCCGATCCTCAACGGCGCCCAGGCGCAGGCTCACTCAGCAGAGTGCCGCGCTCGGGTCGAGCAGGCGATGCAGGGCGACGATGAGGCGAAGCAGAGGCTCGAGGATGCCTGTGAGCGGAAGCGCCATCGCGCTGACGTCGCCAGGCCTGTTTATCAAGAGGGCGCCGCCAGCACCTGAGGCCGCGGCGGCGGCCGTCGCGGCAATGGCTCTGGCACCCCGCGACCGGCGCGACGACGACATGCAGGAGGAGATCGGTGCCCTCCTCCTGCTTTCCTTAGGCTACAGCGGGCGCAAGGCCGACGTGATGGAGGTATTCTGCCCGAACAGGCTTGTGGGCTTCGCGCCGCTCTTCGGTCTGGCCCATGGCGGCTCGTTCGACTTGAGGGTCGGCTGGGGCCTGACCGGCCGCCGGCAGCAGCGACAGTGCCGAGAGCTGATCGAGCACTACGAGGTATATTTCATCTTGGGCAGCCCTCGCTGCGCCCCGTTCTCCATGCTGAAGTACCTCAACGAGGACACGGACAAGCAGCGTGAGGCCTGCAACCCCTTGGAATAAAAAGTCCGGACCGCAGAGGTCGGGGAACAAGCCTTGTTGTTCGGCTCCCGCTAGGCCACGGGGCCCTGGTGCATTGTTGCAGGGGCCGCCGTGGTTAAATTTCCGGTCCATCCTCGCCCCCTCTAATATAATAATTGCCAAATGTCGACAGGGAATCCGCATTCCGCCTAATTTTTCCCCCAAGAAATTTTCCGGGCGCTTTTCAGGCGACCGGAAATTCTCAGCGGCGATCGGAAATTTGCGATTTCGCTTGGGACTTCCTCGCGCATAAATTTCCGGTCCCAGTTATGTTGCTTGGAAGTTGCGATTCTGCTTGGTATATCTTGCCGGTCATGTTTACTTTTCGGGGGGCGACGATGCAAAGAGGCCTGCAGTGCCGATCCAGACTTTTTCATCCAGGGGGTGGTGCGCCATCGGGTGCGAGCACTTGAGGTTCGTGATGGGGCTCTGCACGCTGCAGGTGAAGAACGGCCGTTCGTTCTTGCACGAGCACCCTTGGGGCGCGGACAGCTGGGGCCTGGACATCGTGCAGGACGTGGTGGCCCTCCCCGGCGTTGAGGTCGGGCGGGGCGACCAGTGCGTGTTCGGCCTGGTGGTCGCGGACGCGCGCGGCGACAGGCTCGCCAAGAAGCCGACAGGATGGATGAGCAACAACAAGTAGGTGTTGGAGGAGGTCTCTGCAAGCGCGGCCCCAACGACGCCGGCATTGGCGGCAAACGCGAGCGCTCCACCTTCGTCGGCAGGAACATGCGCGTGGCGGAGACGTGCCCGGTGAAGCTCCTCCGCGCCATCCTCCGTGGTCTCCGTCGGCACCTCTGGAACAAGAAGGTTCTCGCACTTTCGGCCCTGGATGCTGGGCCAAGCGTGGGCGACGAGGAGGTCGGCCTGAAGGACTTCGTCGAGGGGTGGCGCGACGCGCTAGGGACCGAGATCTATGATGACCTCACCGGCCGAACGCTGGACCCCGCGCTGTTGGAAGCCGCGAGGCGCCTCGAGATGGATTTCATGGCGCAGCTCGTCGCGTGGGTCTACGCGAAGGACGAGGACTGCCAGCGCGAGCTTGGGCGCAGGCCTCTCAGCGTGCGCTGGCTTGACATCGACAAGGGCGACGCCGACCGCCCGGGCTGCAGATCCAGGCTCGTCGCGCAGGAGACCAAGGCGCAGAGCGCCGTCGCCGGGGCGACATCGGCGCGGCGTTCGCGGCGACCCCGCCGCTGGCGTGGTGATGTCAAGCGACCCGTCCGAGGGTCGCGTGCTGCGCTTCCTGGGCATCTCGCGGGCACGCCCGTGCTGTGAGATCAAGAGGACGGTCTACATTGAGCTTCCAGAGGAGGACCCAATGTCGCTGGAGGTCGGTACGCGTGGGCTCTTGCGGATGGCGCTCTACGGGGCGCGCGACGCTGGCCAGAACTTCGCGCTCGCGACCGCCGAGACTGTCATCGGTTCTGGCTGTGACCTGTCGGCCTTCTGCGGGGCCGAGTCGATCTGCGAGGCCCTGAAAACGAAGTTCATCGTGAAGGGCAGGGGCGTGCTCGGGCCGGCGCCTACCGACGCAAAGGCGATCACGTGCCTCAACAGGTCATTGCGCTGGTGAGACTGATGGGGCCAAGGGGGCGAGGCCATCGAGTGCGAGGCGGATCCCAGGCATGCGCATATCCTGCACGCACAGCTCGGGATGGACCCCCGCGCTGCGAAGTCACTGATCACGCCGGGGGCGAGCCAGAAGCTGACGCCTGAGGTCGAGCGCGAGCTGAGTGAGCACGAGGCAGCGGAGTATCGCAGCGCGTGCATTAGGCTGGGCTACTTGGCGCTCGACCGGCCACAGGTGCAGTTCACGGCCAAGGAGTGCGCTCGCGGCATGCAGAAGCCGACGGAGCGACACCTTCGCCTCCTGAAGCGCGCTGAGCGCTTCTTGATCAGGGCGCCGCGCGCCATCTGGAGGTGGGGCCGATAGCGGACGCCTACGGTGCTGGACATCTACTTGGACACTGACTGGGCCGGCTGCCCGATCACGCGGAGGAGTACCAGTTCAGTCGTGATCAAGCATGGGCAGGAGCTCAAGTTTTTATACTCGAACACATAACGCGCGTTATGTGGCCTCCAACCCACCCACCCACCCAGTAGATAACATAACGCCCGCCGCCCCACCCACCCCCGTTGCAGCAGCGCGTGTTGTTTAGCGCACAGGTATGCTGTTCGTAGTGCGCGCGCAACGTGTTTGCAGCGTGCGCAGGCATGTGCTTGTGGTATGTAGAGGCGCGTGGCGCGCGCAGGCTGATGTGGCACCCACGCAGACGCGGCGGCACACCCAGCAGTGGAAACAACGAGCAGTTCGGCGTGCATAGCGCACACGCCGGCTGCGGCGGCAGTTGTGGTGCACACAGGCGCGGTGGTGTCCAGCATTGTCGTACGCAAAGATAATTACTGTTGTCCGCGCAGGCAACGGGGGTATGGGGCCGTGCCCTGGAGGTGTACACGGGCTTTGTGGTGTACGCAGGCACAGCGATGTACATGCTGATGATCACGGGCTTTGTGGTGTACACGGGCTTTGTGGTGGGCCGCCGCAATCATGATGATCATCGTAGCCCTCGGAGGGAAAAACGATCCGTTTGCCGCCCGATTGACATGCTCTCCGCAAATGGGCCCCTGAGCACATCCAGGCGTGCGTTCTGGCCTGAATTTCGAGGCGGCACTAGCTGTGACGACGAGAAGGCTGCCAGAGGCCGACAACAACCAAGATAAACAAACAAGATTTGTTTTCATATGCGTGTGTGTGCCCAGGCACGGCGTCGCCCGTCGACGGCGGGAGAAGAAGGCGTCGCCCGCCGGGGCGTGCCTACGTAGAGAACTAAACGACATAAACGAAACAGCTCGGAGGTCCGCGCGGGTTTCTTGGAACGGCGCCGGACCGCGTTCCCCCGGAAGTACCGCTAAGCGGCCCAGCGCCGACGCAAGAACCCCGCGCGGACCTCCGAGTTGTTGCGTTTACATGGCTCAAGCCGTTGTGGCTCGACGGGTCTTCGGGGGCCCCCTTCGTCTGTGGGGAGCTTCGCAATCTGTCCTGGTGTTGCTTTTCGCCCTCCCTCTCCTCCCGTCGCTCCCTCCCTCCTCCCTCCTCCCCTTCCTCCCTCCCTACTACTACTACTACTACTACTACTACTACTACTACTACTACTACTACTACTACTACTACTACTACTACTACTACTACTACTACTACTACTACTACTACTACTACTACTACTACTACTACTACTACTACTACTACTACTACTACTACTACTACTACTACTACTACTACTACTACTACTACTACTACTACTACTACTACTACTACTACTACTACTACTACTACTACTTACTACTACTACTACTACTACGACTACTACTACTACTACTACGACTAACTACTACTACTACTACTACTACTACCCTACTACTACTACTACTACTACTACTACTACTACTACTACTACTACTACTACTACTACTACTGCTACTAGTACTACTAGGTCTACTACTACTAGGTTCTACTAAACTACTACTACTCCTCCTCCTCATCCTCCTACTACTACTACGACTACTACTACGACTACTACTACGACTGAACTACTACTACTACTGACTACTACTACTGACTACTACTACTACTACTACTACTACTACTACTACTACTACTACTACTACTACTACTACTACTACTACTACTACTACTACTACTACTACTACTACTACTACTACTACTACTACTACTACTACTACTACTACTACTACTACTACTACTACTACTACTACTACTACTACTACTACTACTACTAAACTACTACTACTACTACTACTACTACTACTACTACTACTACTACTACTACTACTACTACTACTACTACTACTACTACTACTACTACTACTACTACCACTGCTATTACCACTGCTACTTGTACTGTAAGTGCGTGCGCATTGTCGCTGGGCCCCAGGCTCTGCGGTGCTCGCGCGCGCTGTGTTCACAGGCGTTGTGGCGTTCACACGGGTTGTGGCGTTTTCTGGTCATGTCGCGTGCACAGGCGATGCGGCATTCACGGGCGCTGTTGGGTTCGCAGGCGCTACGTTGACAGGCGCTTTGGTGTTCACAAGCGCTGTGGTGTTCACAGACGGTGCGCTCGTCAAAAGCATTGTGCCGTTTACGGGCACGTCGCGTTGATCGGACCGCAAACTATTGTGGCGCTGGACATAGGCACGTCGTGGCTGTCGGGTCGCAAACGATTTTTTCGCTGGCGTACTACAGGTGGTGTGCACGTTGACAGCTGTATACACAGGCGCTGTTGTGCACCCGTGCGTTGCGACGTACGCTGACGATGTTGTGCACGCGTAGGTTGCTGCATCAGCATGCGTGGTGTTCGTGGGCATTGCGGCGCTGCGTAGCACTCGCAGCTGCTAGGCCCTTTCGTTGCATGAGTGCTATGACCAATAGCAACAAAGGACAGTCCTTCCAGCACAATCAGCATTCGAGCGGCCAGGTGCGACTGCGTTGTGCGCGCGGAACGTGCTGCTGTGGGCGCAGCAAAGGGTGTGAACAAAAGCTTTGTGGTATGGCGCGTTTACAGTCGTATACGCAGTTTCTGTGGTTTACGTGATCACTGCCATGCGCCATGCACTGTGGTGTACACGCGCGATGTGGTGCGCGCGTAGGCTGCTGCATCCGAATGTGTGCATACAGCCATTCGAGCGGCCGGGCGCGGTTGTGTTATGTTATGTGCCAGCGACCCCACCCACCCACCCAGCCACATAACGCGCGTTATGTGGAATAATAAAAACTTGAGCTCCAGCACCTGATCGTGACGGCACCGACAATTCAGATCCCCATCTCCATGAGCTCGGGGGAAGCTGAGTTCTACGGCTGCGTGCGAGCAGCCAGCAGGGCCATCGGCATGCAGTCGCTGTGCCAGGGCCCAGGCAGGGAGGCGAGCCTCCGCATCTGGAGTGACTCGGCAGTGGCTCTCGGCGTCGTGCAACGACGGGGCCGCCGCAAAGTCCGACGCCTCGAGACGCCGACGCTGTGGGTGCAGAAGGCGCTGAAGGACGGCCGGTTTCAACTGGCCAAGGTTCCCGGGAAGTCAAGCCCGGCGGACCTGGGGGCGAAGTTCCTCGACCAGGCGGCGATGCTCCGTGGGCTGGAGATGATGAACGTCGAGCTCTCGGGCGCGCCTCTCTCGAGTGCCCTTCAGGCGCGGGTCTGCGTCAGAGGCGCAGGTGGCCATTTTGGCCCGGCCATTTTGGCCTGCAGTCTTCCGCCCCGCGCTTTCATTGCCCTGGGCGGGCTGCGGTCGTCAGCGCGGTGATGGCGCGTGCTTCTGATTGCGCTGCTCGACCAGCGTCGTGGTCCAGAGCGCTGTGTACTGTCGATGAGCTTCGGAGCTTGATCAGGATTTTAGCATCTCGTCTAGCTGAAGATCTGGGCGGCACGAAGGGGGCTGCAGGAATCCAGAGGCCCCCAGCAGGTTTACTTCAAGAGAGTCTCAACTCATCAAGGCAAGCATCCGAAGAAACGATCTCGCCAATCTGGGATGTGTCGCATGAGGTGGTGTTGAGAACACCTCGAGCGAAGCGCTGGGTACGGCGCCTTCGGGGCTCGACATGTGCGCCATTCGCCCGCGCCCAATTTGATCGCCCATCCATTGTGCGACGCTTGCATTTCCGGTCCAGATAGAATGTCCTCCCGGTCATCCTCCACCGTCGGACCTCAGTAGAGTCAGAGTCGACCTGAATAGAAAGCTGGAAAATTATTCCATGGCTACCCCTGCATCCTTGCCTTTTGAGGTCTTCGCCACTTTCGTTGGTCGCGCCCTGCTGGGAGAACTTCGAAGGGCCGTCCAAGGCTCTTGCATCCTTACCGCGCGTCCTTATGATGCGGGCCGACTGTATATGGTCATCGAGACTCAGGAACCGCTTGGCCCTAATGGCACGACGAAGGCGGAGTCCACTGAGAGTCTCGTCTTCGCATCAGAGATGACGGATTTGGGTGGTGTCGTTCGATGCATCTGCATAGAAGGCCCCGTGTTCCGTGGGCTTAGGGCCTCTTGACTGAGGTGAGCCCCCAAAGGGTTAGGGTTGCACATGTGCCGATCAGATGGGGTCGGATGATCGACGCGCGATGCCGATGCATTAGCGGTGCGGCTCGTTGAGAAGCCCAATGCCTTCGCGCCGACGTTGTCAGATGAATCGCCGGCGCGGGCGGAATTGCAGCGGCGAGCGGTTGCTGCCCCTCAGTTGGAGCGAGACTGGGAGGCGATGGCGAATGCCGCGCGTTGCCTGGGGGGGCGTCAACAGGCGGTGGCAGCCGATCAGGCTTTCGCAGCAACGCAGGGAATGAGAGAGCTCGCCAACATATTGGAGATTGCAGTTGCCCGCGAGCGCCGTGCACGTTTCCAGGGAAAAAACACTTTGCAGGGGAAGCGAGGTGCGCCGTCCAGGGGGCTGGCGAGGCTCAGCGTATGATTACGTGGCAAGCGGCCCGGGAGTTGCGAGCGGCACAGGATCGGAACGCGTGGTTAGCCGCGGAGGCTGCCGCTGCTGTCAAACAGGCCGAGACGGATCGTGTCGTCGCGAATCAGAGCTATGCTCGTCCCACGGCTGAGATGAGAGCCCAACAGGCCTCCGAGAGGCCCCCAAGAGGCCCACTGGAGGCCCTCAGGAGGTCGTCCCCATCATGTTCCCGGAAGGCGGTCTACATGTCTTACGTCTGTTTCCTTATATATACATATATATATGTACGTGTGTCTATTTCATGCATATGTGTATAAATGTATACTCCCCTCCCCCACGCCTTCCCGAGTCGTGCCACTTCCTTCCACGTATTTCAACTTCTTCCATATATATGTATATGTATATGTATATGTATATGTATATGTATATGTATATGTATATGTATATGTATATGAATATGT